GTGGAGAATTTATGGTCGTGTTACTTTGAAAATTAGCTATCGGTGGAATGGTTTGCAAGCAAACGAAGCTTGGCACACTATTTTCTTTAAATGAACCTTCTTGGACTACAAAGTGATGCTGATGGCACAAAAACTGATAGTAGAGCGGCAACAGGTAGACGTCTCTTCTAAAAAGCCTTTATCATATAGCATAAAAAGTTTTGATCGAGCCTACATTTTCATATAATAACGGAGTCGGTCATTATATGTCGAAAGAAGACTGTTAGGTAAACTAACTCATACCCACCTACATGGTAGATATCGATCGCGGTGAGAAGCCGGTCGTGCCAATGTATATTATGGTGTGGTACGGGTATACAAACGGGGTGTTAGCTGTATAAATAGGGTTGTATTAAACAATAATTATTAGAAACCAAGAATACATTAAGCTATACTTTGTAAAGTATTTTCGTAATTTAATGTGATCTAATTAGTTTTGTGCGCTTTGATCAAATTTATCAATCTAAAAATTGAAATGAGTATTAATTCGAACGCCGATAGGTCAGAATGAAAATTCTATCATTTCCATGCATTGTTTAATATTTTATAATTTCCCGCTATTATTATGGCCGACTGCATTTGGCCTTACAAGTATTACACCCAAAAAACGTAAACGATTTTCCTTGCTCTTCATTTAAGTGCGCGCACACTCAGTCTGTTTCGACGTGACATTCTCAACACCAGCGCCAATACATTTCAGCGTACCCGATACTGTTGTATCTATTTGGAAGCAGAGGTCGAGTGTCTTCAACAACCCCAAATATGGATATAAACTTAAACTTGCAAATCGTTAGCGTCCCGTATTCATGAGTTGTTACTCAATATGAGTGCTGAAAACTGATACCCTTAACATTAAATGATACCTTCTAAATATCTGTGTGTTAAAAATTGCAATTATACGGGCTGGGTTGGTTTCTAAAAACACCTAGACCGGAACGGGGCACCCTTTGTTTGGGTGCCGCAAAACTTCACGTACACTAGTACGTGCAGAGGAAGCCAATCCACTCAAACAGCTGGTTTGAGTAACGGCTAAAAAGATAACTGTATTTAATATGGTGAAGCTGTCAATATAACTTTAATCTTTATCTTACTGCATTAATCTGCATTGTCGTATGACGACGACCTTCTCACCACTCATTGCGCGCGTCTAGCAGCGATTGGTTGCAATCTATGGTTTGTATGTCTTAAATAATTGATCTGTGAGCAGCACATGAAGATTATCCAAAAGTAACAATCACCTGGAAAGTAACATTTAAAAACATGCTTGAGGTGGTCGGCGAAAATGGCTGTGCGGAGATGTGCCCAAATTTACGCATGCTGTTGCAAATCAATTTTTGATCACTCTGCTTAATCTTTTGTTTTTTTCGCACTAAATTGAAAGTTTACGGTACGCGATGAACTTCACTGTAATTAATAAAAATGTTTAAAACAGGAATTGAAGTATGTGACCCTTCATCATTGACTTCACACAATTCTCCGCCAAACTTAGTAAATATATTTTAACTACTTCTATGTGTCTCTTTTTATACGTTATCGATCATCTCAATTTAATGATTAAACACATACATGGTAGACATAACTTTATAATGAAATTATTACTTAACAGACACATTAAGATATCGTAAAAAGTGTTGATATCTGATCTTTCCTAGCATAAGCACGTCGATGTACAAAGTTTTTCATTCTGGCTTCTATCTATAGATTACATGCTGCTGCACCATCGGCAGTTCATTCACAGGTTCATAAGGAAGTCTGCGACATATTAAAAGACCGGAAGTATTCCTTTTCCACGATCGATAATTACAGATCTGCCTGTACTCTCGATGTTTGAACCTTTTCGTTGACAAACTGAACACGTAACCATCGAAAAATACTCAATTAGACTACCCAGTTATCGTTTAAACCTACTTTTCTCCTATCGTACAAAACGCAATTAAAATGGATCTTCGTCGTGATTTAATTCGGCGCCACCTACTCCGAAAGTTGCAAATCTGACCACGATGACGTAACTAGACATAGTAAGTAAAGAAATGACTACTGTGCAGCCGCTTTGTACATACCAATCGTGAATTTAGTAATATTCACGAGGGATCCAGTCCAGACTATAAAAGCGGCGCCATCTATTGAAGAAGGTAAAAAGGAACCAAAGTGCGGTACAGGAGCTTGACAAGAGTGACTGTTACAGTTTGTGGTAAAAATGATACTATTTTAGCAATACTATAAGGGCGTGTGGCGTTGTACTTCTGTTAATTAGTACGTACTACTGATAGCCGACTGTGTGGAGCTGGCCTCTATCATGACATTGTTTAACGTCCTTACGTCACACTTTACGATATCACATGAACAGGCAATAATAGATGCCAGATGAAGTCCTTTGTTTGCTTTGTAAAGTGCTCAATTACAAATACCATATCACATCGCTTCGTTATCTGCCTTCCCTTAATGGCGAAGTGCAAGATTTATTGGAAGAAGGGTGCGAAACCAAGGTAAGGAATTAAAGCATAGCACCATCAGGTGCACGGTCTAGAGGGCGAGCAGATGGTGGGGGTTGGATTACAGGGAGCCGGAGATAGGTCGATATAGTAGACGAGCAACTACGCAGAAGTGGCCGCCCTGCCAACCCGCGCAAGGCGTGTGATAGTTGTGTGGGCTGGAGGCCCTACTGTCCGAAAAGCCCCATCGTGTAATGAGGGGTGCGGATCCTGTAAGGAGTTTAAACTGAGTCAGAGTACTCGCAGTTTACCCTAGGGTGATCGGAAGGACCGCGCGGCATAAATCCCTAGAGGGCGAGTAGAATTACATTATAGGGAGCAATGACTGGCTTGGCAAAATAATACTGATTTCATTTATCACAAAGTTTGTAAATATCAATTTGACAAAGGGGTTGAATCAAAGAAAAAGGGTGTGATTACGTCAACTTAAGGCTCCAATTAATGTTATTAGTCTGGGTCAGACCTTGACCCAGGACCCATACCAGCAGATCTAAGGCGACCCAATAGGTCGCCCTTGTCCAAAACGCTTGTGTGTACCACAAATTTAAAATTTTAACTGATCCCCACGAATATACAAGCGCGAAACGTGTTTAGATCAAGTGGGCAAGACAACCATTCATGTGGCAAAGTTCTACAGTAAAACCGTTAAATGGGCCAACATGTACCTCTAAATGTGCACAAAATTTGAGTCGCATTGTATACGTGGTTGAGGTCCTTACGTGTGTATATGTGACAGGCATCTTTATTCTGCTATAATCCTGCTCATCATGCACAACTTTAATATCGATCTTGCCTATTCCATTGAAAATTTGATACATATCGTTGTACATTCACATTTTAAAGACACGTGTACATCTTCCAATTATTTGGATTACAAGCTTTTGTAGGTGATCGAATGTGTTTAACTGCCATATTTAGTCGATTACAAAGAGCTCGTTGCTGGATTGCAAGATCAAGAAGATCAAGCAGCTGCCTGTATTCCACAAACTGATAAGGCAATGACTGCACTGGAAGAAATTTGAGCAACGCCTGGATTTAAAACTCATTGTATCAATTTATGCGTTGGATACACCTTCAGGTATTCTGATTTATATGTGCACGCATGGTACCTTATTCAAGTAGCTCATTATGCATCTAGCACTTGTCCAAATGTTTGATACCACTCATAGCTTTACAAACGTACATAGCTCCGCTAATTGCTTATCCGCTACAAAGTTTTGGGGACTGACAAATAGCTTCACCTCCTTCTCTGAGCCTCATAAAGTACGCCCAAACTCAGCTTGTCTTCTAGCCGCCATCGGTACTGGCAGCACCCTCCGTTGGCTGAGTGTCATTGTCGGCGGAGGCGACCATCGATGCAATTTCTGGATGTATCGGTTTTGTGCTCATTTTTATGACATGACATTTTAAAATCGGCTAAAATTCATTTACCTAAATGGTGACCAGTTATCTAAAAGCCTGACACAAGCCTCTCCAATCAGTAAAACAGGTGCTATATGTGGAACACAGCGCTCAATTCAGGATCCCAAATTAGCTAGAAAATATGCTATCCGGGTTGGTTGCGGAACAAAAATGGGAAAAATTAAAGAGACCAATGGGTCATTGGTCCGGGTCGGATCTTTAAATTAACTTCCTTAATATAGGTGTATTCCAGGCTCGATGTGGCTGAACTAGTTTGGTCGTGTCAGTCTATTTTCTTGGAAGTTTGTAGGTATTCGCCCTTGATCCGCACACACACAGTCGATCTAATTAATTTATCAACGATGCCGAACTCACTCAATGCTATGTATTAAGTGCATAAGAATTAAAAATACGTAATGTAAAGTAAAAAGCACTGTTATCCCGACCGTGACTTCTTTTTCTTCTATTTAATAGCTGGCGTAAAAATTGGACCACGACCTAGCTTTATTAAAAATTATTCTGACGTTTAGACTGCTAGGTTCAGCGGATTTTTTGCAAATGCAATTCCAAATCCAACTGCAGAAATAACGTATACTGCAAATTTACTGTGCGATTGAGTAGGTCGCTATAGCAGATCGTATTAGCAAGCAACCCCGTAAGGACATATACGAGCGGATAGATCGCTGTAAATCGCGTCGGGCGATTTAGCTAGAGCGATGGTGTAATGGGGCAACCCATTTTATTAAGTAGTCATAGTTTTATTACATAATTACATACATTAAGTGTAGGCAGTATCCGGATAGCGGATACTGCGCGTCTATTTATTATTGGTTTATTATTGGGGTGCCAGACCCAATAATTAGCCAATAATAATTAGTTCTGTATTTGAGTGGTTCCCATGAGCTAGGGAACATATTCGCACTTACTGCGAATTATAAAAAAACACAAAAATACAAACAGAGTTAAATTTACCTTATAAATCACAGCGCTTCCTCAGCTTAATTATTAGTGTAAGACGGTAACGGGCTCCCACACCGTTACACCTGGTAGCACTTAGTAGTCCTTCCCATGACCAAGTTCGAGATGGATATGAGTGTATCTTCGATGGCTCCAGCAGTTTCGCTGGAGCATGCAGATTTTCCCCATCTCACTACGGTAGAATTGCAGGCATTACACCGCCTCGCGGCGGTGTCTGGTGAAATCTTCGTGACGTCGCTGCTGAGCACAGCGACGCCCGAACAACACCGTGCCGCCATTTAAGACTACATAATGCGCGAGCTCGCCGAAGCGAACGGGCGAGTACATACTCCGTCGCGCCCCTCCCATTACGATGCAATTAAAATGGAGACGTCGACATACTCTGGTGATGGTCCAGATCGTCTCCCCCTTAATCGCTGGTTTAGGGAGATTGACATCGCCATAGCGTCAAGGTTGATTGACGCTCCGACGGCCAAGGTTAATTTCCTACTGTCTCGGCTTGTTGGTAAAGCCAAAGAATGGGCTCTTGGGAAGCTCGTTGTAAACGAGTTGGCATTCCCCACGCTGGACGATATCCAGAGCGACTTACGACTGGCGTTCGAGCCCCCTCAAGATGAGTCACGCTTGCGCGCAGATTTCTTTTCACTTCGACAGGGCAAGCTGTCGATGCGTGATTACGTACAGAAGACGCGACATCTTGCTTCGTGTATCATCACGCAGCCGATCGACATGGCGTCTCAAGTTCATGTCTTTGTCTTTGGTATGCAAGAGGGCATGACCCGCTATTGCCTCACACGTGCTGAACCTAAGACTCTTGAGGAGGCATTTGCCCTCGCGCTTCGTGAAGATTACACGGTCGCATCGTCATATTTGCAGGCAGCGTCGCAACGCCCGCGTACGTCTGGCCCAGAGCCTATGGAAATTGACGTTATCGATGCATCTCGTGGTCGCGGCAAGCAATTTGGCCGCGACATTCGAAGTCAAAACACGATGAAGTGTTATCGGTGCGGCAAGACTGGCCATCGTGCGGCCGTCTGCCGATCACCTGCGCCGGTGTCCATGAACACAAGTGACTTACGTGGAGATACTGTGTCGTCCGTGGTCCCGCCAAGAAATGAGCGGTTCCAGTAGGTGCGGGGCGCCCTACTGGCAGTAATGGAGCCCCGAGTACTCAGGTGGCAGCTCGGCCTCCTAGCCCTAAAGTGATACATACCCACTTCAATGCCACCACTATGCGCGACGATTCGAGACTGATAATTATCAGTCTCATCGTTGCTGGAGTTAAACGACCACTTCGAGCGTTGTTGGATTCGGGTGCATCCAACAACTTCTTTCGAGCATCATGTTTGTCCCTTCTCCCATCGACAGTTACGGTTCGAGAAGGTCCAGGTGACATCGTTGTCAAACTTGCTGATGGACAACCACAGCGTGTCCCGCGTAAAACAGTGGTTTTGCCGTACACGTTCGACGGCTTCCAAAGTAATGACGAACTTTTGGTGTACGAGATGAATTATGCATTCGATTGCATCTTGGGGATACCGTGGCTGTCACGGTATCAGCCGACGATAGACTGGCTATCTCGGTCCGTCAAACGACGAAGCGGTTACGACGTAAGTGAAGTTTTCACTCATCTATTGGTAGCGCCATCCGATTGGCCTCACGTCAGGGTCGTGAACGAACTCGCCACGACTAGAAGTCATCTCAGAAAAAACGATGGCCCTCTGTGTCCGGTATATCCAGTCGCATAGAACCACAAGACGAGGCGGTCGTACAGAGTCTCCCGCATACACAGACATCGGTCGAGCAGGGGCTCCCGATTCACAACGAGACGGTCGAACAGAGGTTCCCGCACACACAGACATCGGTCGAGCAGGGGCTCCCGATTCACAACGAGGCGGTCGAACAGGGGTTCCCGCACACGGACATCGGTCGAGCAGGGGCTCCCGATTCACAACGAGGCGGTCGAACAGGGGTTCCCGCACACACGGACTTCGGTCGAGCAGGGGTTCCCGAGTTCTAGCGAGGCGGTCGAGCAGGGGCTCCCGCATACACACACAACGGCCGAGCATAGGCTCCCGATTGTAAACGAGGTGGTCGAGCAGAGGCTCCCACATACATCTGAGGCGGTCGACGACGAGCTCCCGCCTCTTATCGACGAGAATGAACGGGCTGTGGACTTAAATGTGAACGACGTGGTGGAGACAGAGCTCCCACGTCTAGCGGGGGGGTACTTCATCCTCCAGCGACAGCGACGTTCCAGCCTCGAGCAGTGGCTCAAGACGCAAGAGAAAGCGTAAACGCAAGAAAGGTGCACGCCGATCACTAAGACGACGAAATTCTCGCTCAAGCGCCGTTGACGATGATACTGTATTGACGGAATCCGTTTGTGCGCTTGAATATGTGGAAGGGTCTTCACATCGTGGCCGCTACGTTGAGGTAGCGAGCCCTCCGTGCACTGTTGCAGAGATCACATCTCTATTAATCCTACCATGGAAAGATTTCCTTCACGACCTCAAGGCCGGCGACATCGAGCAAGTGTGCATCATATCAGCCGCCGAAGCAGCTAGTGGAGAAGTTCTGGAGGCTCGCCCAAAGAGCGCTGAGCCCAAATCAGCGCGCGAAGAACGTTTCGTGGCACAGTCTTGGGAAGCCCTTCGTGCTTAGGGCAACCCTGTCTATGATATCGCGCGTGAGTATGCCGACATCTTTCCGGAGAATATCCCCGCTGAGCTTCCAGCGGATCGTGGTGTGCGACACGAGATCGATCTCGTGCCAGGATCGAAGTATTGCGTGACGCGGCAGTGGCCGCTACCGCGTGACCAAGTCATCGCAATTGATGAATTTTTTTGAGGGGCGCCGTAAGGCAGGACACGTCCGCGAATGCATATCGCCACATTCGAGTCCGACTTTCTGTGTGAAGAAAGCCACCGGCGGTTGGCGCATCGTGCATGCTTTTAACAAGTTGAATGACGCCACGATCCCGGCTCAAACACCAATTCCTCGGAAAGACATGGTACTGGATACCATGTCCGGCAGCGAGATTTTTAGCGCCATAGACCTGACAGACGGGTTTTACCAGATTTTAATGAGGGACAGTGATATCCCGTTCACCGCTGTCAGCACACCGAGTGGGATGCTTTGGGAGTGGCTAGTCATGCCACAAGGCCTTAAGAACGCTCCAGCAACGTTCAACCGGATGGTGACACGAGTGCTTCGGCCACTACGTGATTTCGCTCCAAGTTATTTCGACGATATTTTTGTTCACAGCCGCGCTGAGCAACAACTCAGCGCTACGGAGGTCCACCTTCGGCATTTGAAACAGGTGTTCCAAGTGATGCGCGAGAACAAACTGTACGCAAATTTAAAGAAGTGTGTCTTCTGTGCTCCCGAGATTCCAGTTCTTGGATGCTTTGTTAGCAAGGAGGGTGTCCGTGCTGAACCCGAGAAAGTGTCATCGATATGTTCATGGCCTACGCCCAGGAACCAAACGGAACTACGCCAATGGCTTGGCTTGGCCAATTACTTGCATAAGTATACGAAGAACTATGCAGAACTAATCCAGCCACTATCGACTCTACTGAAGAAAGACGCAGTTTGGTCATGGAAAGCTGAACATCACTCTGCCTTCAACTCTGTGAAAAAGAGCTTGTCTGAAGCACCAGTGCTGATGTTGCCTGATGATTCCAAGCCATTTCACGTCGTCTGTGATGCGAGTGTTTTTGCTATTGAATGTGCCCTCATGCAGTTTGACGATGAGGGCCGAGAGCGCGTCGTGAGCTTTCAGTCACGACAGATGAAACCCGCAGAGAGGAACTATCCGGTACATGACAAGGAACTTTTGGCTATGCGTTACGCGCTGATCAAGTTCAGAGTATATTTGCTCGGCGAGAAGATGTTTTCGGTCTTAACAGATCACGCATCATTGCGAACCGCCGTCAAGACTCCCCACTTGTCCCAGCGTATGGCACGTTGGTTGTCATACTTCTCAGAGTATAATTTTGTGGTCTTTTACAAACCCGGCAAGAACAACATTCTTGCTGACGCGCTTTCTCGACGTCCCGATTATGATCCTCGACGTGACATGGGTCATCAGCCAGGCATTGCTGAAGACGAGGACGACGACATTTGTTTATGCTGTGCTGAGCAGGGGCTCAATACAATGATTTCGACACCTGAGCTGTCAATCCGGACTCAAATCGCTGAGTCATATGCGAACGATTCATTCTACACGGGAATCATCAATTATCTTCGACACCCTAGTGAGGGTTCACTCGCGAAGTTGACGAAACCAACGCGTGACAACATCAAGCGGTACGCGCTTGATGGTCCGCTGCTGACTTATACAATGGACGTTTTCGACCCACCGCGCGTCGTCATCCCTGCTAATGACGACCTCCGCGCACGATTGGTGCATGAATTTCATGACACTCCAACTGGTGGTCATTTGGGTCGCGAGAAGACGTTCGCGGCCATCTCTCGTGTGTTTTTCTGGCCGCGTATGTACAAATACATCCAGAAATGGGTACGCTCTTGTGAAATATGCCAGCGTGTGAAGCCTGCGCCGTCTTCACAAGCTCCATTGCGTCCGCTTCCGATTTCCACGGAAGCCTGGCGTTCGGTCAGCATGGATTTCATCTTTGGTCTCCCTCCGGACGAACAGAAACGCACGGGCGTATTGGTTTTTGTGGATCGATTTAGCAAAATGGTGCATTTTGCTCCAGTCTACGCGCACGTTACGGCGGAGACGACCGCGCAGATCTTCATCGATCTCATATTTCGACATCACGGCTTGCCTGAATCAATTGTTTCTGACCGCGACCCGCGCTTTACATCAGCTTTTTGGGCAATGTTGTTTCAACTATTGGGCACGCGACTGCTTATGTCTACGGCAGCCCATCCAGAGACGGATGGGCAAACGGAGCGCGTGAACAGAGTGCTTGAAGATGTACTACGCAGTTATGCGACATCGTTATAGTCGTGGAGTTCGTTTCTCTCTCTCGCTGAATTTGCAATCAACAACACAGTTCATGCGTCGACTGGGTTAACGCCATTTTTCGTGAATAACGCGAGGCACCCTCGCGTTCCAGCGCTTCTTGCTCTTTCAGCTTCAGCACACCCAGTTTCTCAGCTTGGTGGGGGAGTATCTCCCGATGACACTACGCGAAAAATTTTGATGATTGGTAATGTTGAAGACAAGGTTGCTGCCGATGCAACTCATACTGTTAATTTCGTGGCCAATGGCATATCGAGTCCCGACGCGATGCATCCCATCGCGTCTCCCGTCGCTAATTTTGCTCCTAAAGAATCTACTTCTCCTGTAAGTTCGGCTGCTGTGACCGAATTCCTATTACTACAGCAAAGTATCACGCGTTTTGTACGCGATGCACTCCAAGAAGCAGTGGATAAACAAAGGGAGAACGCGGACAAGCGAGGTCGAAAGAACTTGCTGACGTTCAAAGAAGGTGACAGAGTCTTACTATCGACAAGCGGATTACCAGACACGTCAGTAACGAATTTGGGCGCTAATAAATTAGCGCCAAGATATATTGGGCCCTTTCGGATTGTTGAAGTCCATGGAGATGCTTACACGCTAGACATACCTACCACTATGCGTTTGCACCCGACATTCTATGTCGGGCGCCTTAAGGCTTACCTGCCGGCGGATCTCCCTTTGGTCCTTCCTCACTCGTCTGTATCGGCTCAAAGTCCGACACCCCCTGCCGACGACGCTGACGACGACTGGGACCAAGTCCTAGACGAGCGCGAGCAGACTCGTTCTGCTGGGGTCCACGGAACGCAGCAGTATCGAGCTGTCGCAGACGCTCCACCAAGCCCTGCTGCTCCCGTCGGGTTCTCTCGGCAGCCTCTGTCGCAGCTGCTGCACGATCTCGAGCCCTCTCGGCCATCTCACGGGCATCCAGAAGGCCGTTCATCGCCTCTTCAGTGTCAGCACGAAGGAAACGAAGCTCGTCACTCGACGGCACAAGCGCCCGATTATGAGAATCGGCGCCCAACCCAAGAAGCCTTCCGTCGTGATGCTCCTCCTCCCTTGGTAGATGCATCGGGTGAGCGACGCTGGATTGTGGACCGTATCGTCGGTCATGAAGACCCCACGCCTCTTGCGCCGAGTAGTGGCTCGGCGCCATCGAAGAGTCGTTCAGAAACGCATTACAAGGTCCGATGGTTGGGTTATTCACTAACGGAAGACACGTGGGAGCCTCGAAGTATGCTGGCTCACGATGTTCCTGACGTCGTTGAGGAGTACGAGACCAGTAAGAGGTCGGTGAACGCGACCGACGCTGCTGACTCCTTCCACGATCCCGCGAACCGTAACGTGCGTGAATTGGCGATCGACGACGATCTCCCGAGCGACTCCGACGTCTTCTACGAGGCTCGGGAGCATTTGGATACCTTGACGGTCGAGAGCGACTACGAGAACGACCTCAGTGGTCGTAAGACAAACGATCTCGACTACGTGAACGCCTCCATTGATCGACAGGGCGTTCCCTCATGTGACGCAACGCAGATACTTGGAGCTCTGAGAGGCTCCTCTCATAGCGTCCGATCCATGGTCGGATGTGCTGGGGCATTCCCCGTGCACACACCATGTCGTCCCATTCCTGCCGCATTGGTCGCGGTATCTCCATGTGACACCGTGGACACCCTTCACGGACATGGACGTAACACATGTGGAACCCATCACAAGTCAAATGACATACGCGTCGTCGTAAGTCGCCAATAGCGTGGTCGTCATGAGTACTTTCGCGTCCCTCGATCCAGGATGTGAAGGATGCCCCTTCACGTCGACTCGCGTTCCAACGTCTGATGAAGGCACACCAAGATCGTTGCAGTGCGTCTTCAGTGTATGTGTGATTCGTTCCCTTGCCTCGAACGTTACGGTATCGTGTGAAGAGATTCTTCATGGTCTCAAGTGATTCAGGTTGGTGCGCGCCTTCAAGGCTGTACAAGCCCCACGGCTTCAAGTCGTCATCCATGGTCTGCGGTGCACGCTCTCTTCGAAGTGTCTGATGACCCCAATTGTCGTTTGGGGTCGAGTCGCGTGGGTGTTCAGGATTCATGCTGCTCAGTTGTTTGTGGCTGAGCAGAATCGAAGACCAAAATGACGTGTCGTTGGAGTTCTCGTTGGGCTTTTCGATGGACTATTCGTTAAGAAGAAAGTTTCTGTGTATGGCGCTTACGTCACGGTAAGCGCAACTTAAAGAGGGGGGTGATGTAATGGGGCAACCCATTATATTAAGTAGTCATAGTTTTATTACATAATTACATACATTAAGTGTAGGCAGTATCCGGATAGCGGATACTGCGCGTCTATATATTATTGGTTTATTATTGGGGTGCCAGACCCAATAATTAGCCAATAATAATTAGTTCTGTATTTGAGTGGTTCCCATGAGCTAGGGAACATATTCGCACTTACTGCGAATTATAAAAAAACACAAAAATACAAACAGAGTTAAATTTACCTTATAAATCACAGCGCTTCCTCAGCTTAATTATTAGTGTAAGACGGTAACGGGCTCTCACCCCGTTACAGATGGAGTTACATAAAAAAGTGTTAATTGCTACGTTGATCGACATCAACTACATGAAATTGACACCAAACGGTGTCAATTGGAAATAGTTCTAGCATGACAATATTCTACCAATATTATCCGGGATGGATACTATTGAAGGAATATCATCCCCTTTTGGATAATCTTCATGCGCTGCTTAAAGATTTGTTGAAATTAGACATACCAACCATAGATTGTCACCGATCGCAGCCAGATACGCGCAATGAGTGGTGAGCAGGTTGTCGTCATACGAAGACGTAGTTTAGTATAATTAGATAAAGACTAAAGTTTAGTATAATTAGATAAAGACTAAAGTTATACTGATAGCTTAACTATATTAAATACGGTTCTCTTTTTACCCTTACTTGACCGAGTCGTTCAAGTAGTTTAGCTTCCTCTGCGCGTTCTAGTGTACGTGAAAGTTTCGCGGCACCCCGAACAAAGCCCCGTTACACCTGGTAGCACTTTGTAGTCCGTCCAACGACTACTTAGTGTCCGTCCAACATGTTTATGTTAGACGTAGAAGACTACAGCTTTCACGTCACACGTGAAGGCTACTACCATCTGAGTGACTCAGAATGGGAGGTATTCGGCCGCATGAGTTTGCTTATGGGCAAACTCTCCATCAGTAGTATGTTGGAGTTTCTAAGCAGAGACCAGCAACGTGCTGCTATCATTAAGGCCCTACGAGGGGAACTTGCCATCAAATTACAGAAGATAGCCTTGACACAACAGCAAGGCTCTCATCAGTCGATGGGAGGTCCGACGCACATTCGTCGACCCGAAACCTTGAAGATTGATATCTCAAGGTACAAGCAAACCGATAAAGATTATCCTTTTGAGATGGTTCGTCGAGTTAGACGACGCCATCAGGGCCCGTCACGTCGAGGGTTGCAAGTCACCATCGCCCTGTTAAGTTTGACGGGACGAGCACTGACTTAAGCCTTAGGTCTCAAGCTTCATGACCTAAACGTGTTTGAGTCGTTGGAGATCTTATCGTCTCGGCTTGAAGAGACGTTTGAGCCGCCGAGAGCCGAGTTCAGAGCACGCTCTGCACTCTTGAGGCTAAAGCAAGGTAAGCGTGACGTGCACACTTACGCACAACACCTACACTACCTTGCGAGTAGCGTCATGGAAGACCCTGTTGATAAGCACACGCTCATCAGCTTTTTCATCTACGGCCTTGTGGATGGGCCGGTGAAGACCTACATGTTCCAAGAGGACTTCCATACACTGGAAAAGGCGATAGCGTATGCGGAACAAGAAGACTTCAGCCTGAGACAGTCTCAGGCTAACTCGTCAAACTATCATCCGACGAGGCGACAGAAAACAGGAGGTCCCGAACCAATGGACGTATGTTATGTCGAGAGCGAGAACTATCACTCTCTGAGTCACAAGCTAACGGTAAGATGCCATCGCTGTCAGAAAGATTGGACACTATACTCATGAGTGTAGTGTCCCCAGCACCGCATCACGTCCTAAGACAAGACGTGATGACCGTCGTTGGCCGAAGAAAGGTCCAAGGCGCGGATCCGAACATGTCGCTGAATCGCGACAGCAAGTCGGACCGCCAGAAAATGGTCAGGGTCAGTAGGGGTAGAGCACCCTGCTGATCCATCAATTCAAAATAATTTGCAGGACTCTTGACAAAGATTGCTCTTAGCATGCAGTCTCTGTGTGTTACTGACCATAGTAATGAGGTGTTCCTCATCGCTTTAAAGATCGAAGTGACAAGTGGAATGTCAATTCGCGCCCTAGTTGACTGTGGGGTGTCGAACAGTTTTATTCGACTCCAGTCGCTAGAGGATGGTAGGCTCAACTATGTTGAGCGAGAGTTCCTTCCAACGAGGATGACGGTGTGCCTTGCAACAGGCGCATCCGTAACAGGGAAGAAGTGGGAATCCACTAAACGCTGGAAGGAAAGCAACACGATGATGACTTCATCGTACTCGATTTGGATGACAAATTTGACGTCATCCTTGGTCTGCATGGCTTCGAAAATACCAACCACGGATCAGCTGGCAGCGCCGATCAGTGAAGGTGCCTGCCGTTTGTTCATCAGATGGCCATCTGATGAACGTCTTGGAGCTTTTACAACCGTGTAGATGTACAGAGTGAGTGCGATGGCCTCACTTGCGGTACAGTCGTTAGTATGACTGCAAAAGATCACAGTGTAGAAGGCCAATGCACTGTGGAACCAGCTTTCGGCACCTGTGCAGAGACACAGGTTGCGCCGAAGGTTCACCACTCGAAGAGATCGAGTAGACTAGAACACGGATGCACACCAAGAAGGGTGCATCCGAGAAGATAGGTTAGTGTCGTTCAGGATGGACAACACGGTGAAGCGACATCGACTATCAGAGAGTCGATCGTAGAGCAAGCACGCTCGAATGAAAAAAAGTCGATCGAAGAGGACGTGACTGTGATAGTACACGTAACGAAAGAAAATTCCGGCGTTCCTGAGAGAGTCATGTTGATAGTTAGTATCCCCAAGCACCTGCGGATGTGTTTTACCAGGAAATCACCGAGTCAGTGGATGTCTTGGTGAATGACGGATCAAGTGCATGCGCTTATGCACTTGATCTAGTTACACCTCCAAAGTCAGCTGTGGAGGTGGTCAAGTTGACAACGCTAGAATCGAAAAATTCTTTGCGATATCTGCGCAGTGACAAGATCAAGCAGATCTGCGCACTCGTCACAGAGGACGAGTTCGTCGCCGATATTCGGTCGGCACAAGTGTTTACTGAGATCGAACGGGTTCTCAGTAGCCCGTATATGGACGATAGTGTCCTCCATGAGAAGACCCGGGTTGAGCGATACACGTCTCAATCTTGGGAGTCTTTAAAGACAAATCTTTTGCATAAGGATTTGGTGGAATTCAGGAATGTTTTCCTGGAATCCGTGCCATGCGAGCTGTTCAAGGACAATGGCACTCGACATGAGATTGAACTGAAACCTGGTTCGAAATACTGTGTCATGAAGCAGTAGCCACTGCCTCGTGAACAGACCACAGCAATCGACAAATTCTTTGCCGATCGTTTAGCGGCTGGTCATGTGAGGGAATCGACATCCCCACACAGCTCTCCGACCTTCTTTGTGCGAAAGGCTACAGGAGGGTGGCGGATAGTGCACGCGTTCAACAGATCGAATGCTGCAACGGTATCGGCGTCTCAGCCGGTACCGAGGAAGGACGTCAACATAGATGGTATGGCAAAAAGTACCATTTTTTCGTCCATGGATCTGATGTATCGATTCTATTAGATGCTCATGCGTGAACTGGATATTCCTTACACAGCGGTGAGCACTCCCAGTGGTATGCTCTGGGAGTGGCTAGTGATGCCACAGGGGCTAAGTAAAGCCCCTGCAACGTTCAACAGATGTGTTACGAACCTGTTGCGATCGATGCGCAATTTCACACCGAGTTACTTCGACGATGTCTTCGTCCATAGCCGGGCTGTGGATGAAAAGACGGACGTGGAGGTTCCTAGAATCCCCGTCCGGAAGGTTCTTACACCAATGCGAGAGCAAAAGTTGTTCGCGAACCTCAAGAAGTGTATATTCGCAGCGAACAAAATGCTACTTCTTGGCTGTATCGTGAGTAAAAACGGTGTACGCCCTGATCCGGAAAAGATCCAGGCGATTTGCGACTGGCCTGTGCCAGTCGACGTCAAGGGGCTTCGAAAGTCCCTTGGCTTGGCAGCGTATTTGCACAATACTCGCGCAACTATGTCGAGATGACTGTACATCTCTTTCAACTTTAAAAGAAAAACGAGAGGTGGTCATCGAGTGCTGAGTGTCAGCACTCTTTTGAAGGCATCAAGAAAAGCTTGATACAATCGCCTGTATCGGTGATTGCATACCAGGACAGACCATTCCATGCAACCAGTGACTCCAGCGATTTTGCTATCGGCTACGCGTTGATGCAGTACGACTCAGACGGCGTTGAGCGCGTCGTCTGTTATCAATCGCGTCAGCTGCAAGTAGCGAGCGTAATTAAGCAGTGCATGAAAAGGAACTCCTTGCCATGAAATTTGCACTGACTAAGTTTCGGGTATATCTCTTAGGAGATAGACCCTTCATCGTTTATACCGACCATGCGTCATTACGCACGGCCGTAAACAGTCCACACCTCTCGCAACGAATGGCGAGGTGGCTATCTTTCTTCGCGGAGTACAACTTCTACGTCGAGTACAAACCAGGACAACTTAATGTCGTCGCTGATGCTCTCCCGCATCGGCTCGATTTCGTGCCGACTGCTCAACCCAACAGAAGGGGTGATACCACTGTAGCGACACTATCAGTGAGTGTTCCGTCGTCGAATCTGCTCGACTAAGTGCGGAAGGCATACGCAGAAGATGAGTCTCTTCTGTAGTTGATGATTTACTTATACAATCCATGTAGTCAAGCTTTGAAAAGCTTGTCGTCTCAATACCGCTCTTCAACCGAACGGTATTCGGTTCGTAGTGGAATGCTGTACTGAACAGCATTCAAAGGCGACACTCCTCGTGTAGTCGTTCCCGCTCATAATGATTTGCGATTGCGCATCATGTATGAGTGTCACGATGCCCCAACAAGTGGGCATCGCGGTAAAGAAAATACTTACCTCACGGTGAGTCGTGACTTCTACGGGCCCCGTCAGTATGAGTTTGTGCGAAAATACATTCGCGCTTGCGAAGCTTGTCATTGGGTGAAGCCTAGTCCTTCATTACGCGCAGCCTTGTAGCCTCTACCGATTTCGGATGAGTCTTGGCAGTCCGTATCAAAACCTTGACTTTGGGTTTCCCAAAGACGCTCACAGGTATACTGATATTCTTGTGTTTGTTGATCGGTTGAGCAAGATGGTACATCTAGTTGCTGTACCGGAGTCAATCACAGCCCAGTGCTGTGATCGTGTCTCCATTGATTCAATCTTCTGAATAGATGAGATCGTGTCTTCATTGATACGATTTTCTGAATTTATAGGTTCCCCCTTGAACTCGTGTCCGACAGGGACCCCCGCTTCACAGCGTAGCTCCGGCAATTCTTGTTTCGTTCACTTGAAGCTCTCGAAGGTGTCGACTTCTGACCATCCTGAAACAGATTTTCCGACGAAACGGGTCAAATGTGTCTTCGCAAATATAGTTCGATGGTACTTCCACTCGTTTACGAGCTGGAGTGAGTTTTTGCAGATGGCGGAATTCGCCATCAACAACTCGGTGCACGCGCATCCACCGTTCTTCGTGAATGGCCTTCTCCATCCACGTTACCTGCATTCTTAGGGTATGACTCTAGTTTAAGGGGGGAGGTGGACTCGCTCGAACGAAACTGATCTGGTTCTCGCTCATCACACGTCGACAATGGTGCCGACGTGATGGATGCCGATGTCAATGCAATCGAGATCGATGACGACAATGCTGGTATATTCAGCATCGCCAAAGACTGCCACAGTGAGGACGATGACGCCCTCACTGGTGAAGACAACGTTGATTCAGCATTGCAAACGAAGTGCAATGCTGTTGACAAGGATGAATCAGCAGAGGAATTTCTGCTGTTTCGCAAAGCGGTTGTCCGCTTCGTTCAAGACTCTATTGCAGATGCACTAGACCGACAGAAAAAAACGCAGACAAACATGGAAAAGCAAATGTTCTTTCATTCGATGAAGGAGACCTAGTTTTACTGTCTACAGTAAATCTACCAAAACACGTAGTGACAAACGTGGGCGGCAGTAAATAACTGCCCAATGTATTGGTCCATTTCGTGTGTTGGGCCGAATGGGCAACGCATACACATCGAACTGCCCCGTAAGATGCGTACGCATCCCACGTTTTACGTTGGACGTCTCCGCCCGTACTATCAGTACGAGCCCGTCTCGAGATGCGAAGTTCACCTCCGCGGTCGAGAGCCGAGACCACCTTCGAGTGTCCCGTTTCAACGAGCCAGTCTGGTCGACTATCGAAGCGACCTTCTCACGCAGTTGAGCGATGTCTCGACGAGATACAGCCAGCTCGTCACGAAGAGAACGAACCGAACATTCGTTCTCAAGTTGCGCAAGCGCAAACACGACACAATAGTTCGAACGATCGTGCGCTAAGGAATTGTAAGTATCCCTTACAAGGGTCATGAAGCTTGTAACGTCGAGCCGTCCATGAGCTAGGTCACCGTGTAACTGTTCTTTTACACGGTTCAGCTCTTGAACATCAAGCTAATCCAATCGTCGAGCCGGACCAGGTGTTCCCGCCACCACCACATCCTTTGGTGGATTCTGGCGGTGGTCAACGCTTTCTGGTGGAGCGTATTTTGAACCACCGCGACTTGAATGGCGTCCGGACGAGTTACCTCGTACGCTGGCGTGGCTATCCACCGGCGTGGGACAGCTGGGAGCCTCGTGCCCAGCTGATTGTTGATGTCCTTGGTCTCGTCGAGCAATATGACGAGACCCACCCACTGCGTTCGAAGAAGGGCCGTCGGAAAATGACCTCCCCGAACGCGAGTACAGAGATTGCAAAGTGTCAATTGCTTCGGCCATTTCAGATGAGATGCAAGCCCTCCAGCAGGGAGCATTAGGGAGGTAAGCCTTCCTAGGGGCACGGTCCGAGTTGTCCAGGCAACTTGGACACGAATCACCCCACGAGAGACAGGGCAATCCTGCCTCTCTTGAAAGCCGGTGCAACTTGTATCGCGCCCCGACGGGGTTGCGTTTCTCAAACCTGATGCGAGCTGCATAAGTTTGGCAAGCCAAGCCTCACGGCCAATGCACTCGATGTTGTGGATGAGGGCATTCCATCCCTGCACCAAGGCTTTGACGTCCCGAACACGGCTACCATTGTACCACCGATGTTTAAAAAACACATCGATGAAGAATTATTTTTCAGCACGAATAGTTTCCGTGTTAAGATCTGGTGGACAAATCTTCCTACAGTCGAACAACGGGATTCGATCCCGTTCAGTAAACATGCCGGCCACTCTATCTAACGCTTTAGATGACGGCATCCAAGGAGTATTCACTTAAGGAGCGTGGCGCAGGACATTTCGGTCCCTGGCCTCTTGATTGGTGCCAGCATGAGCACTGACACCAGTGTTACCCCGATCCCTCAAGTTACCCCGCTCGTGATGATGTATAGGTGCATCACCACCATCTCCACGCGTCCTATCGATGGATGGACTCGCGTGAGGCGAAGAATCGTCAAACAATTGCTCGATCCGAAGATCTCGGTCATGATGCCGCCACGTTGACCAGAGCCGGTCAACCTGGCTCTTGCAGTGTCCGCCCCGGGTGATCCGGGGGCGTGAGGAGTCGCCTTCGAGTCGGATGATGCATCCGACTCGCCAGAATAGATAAGCTCTATTTCAGAGTCATCTAGATTATGATTCGCTGTACCCGCTGCAGACGAAGCGGATGTACCTTTCGCACGTGGTGACTCACAACGTGGACTGTTCACAACAACAGGCGACGAATCACCTGCTGCTGAGGTGTGAGAAGTACTCTCTCCGGTTGCACGCATGCGTGCATCCGCTCTTCTTGCTACTGCAGTAGCAGCTCGCGTGGTTTATGAAACCATGCGTTGGATGGGCAAATGAATGGAATTTGACCAACAAGTGCTCCCCTTCCCAGAGTGATCCAACGGTGGTCACCCTGTCCCAATCAATTCTTTCCAATCAACGGGTGATTAACGGTTAAGGGGGGTGATGTAACGGGGTAGCCCGTTACATGATATTGACACCAAACGGTGTCACTAGGGAGATCGTCAAGCGTGACAATTCTCTACCAATATTATCCGAGATGGATAATATTGAAGAAATATTATCCTCTTGTAGGATAATATTCATGTGCTGCTCAAAGATTGGTTGATAAAGACATATCAACCATAGATTACCACCAATCGTTGCTAGACGCGCGTAATGAGTGGTGAGCAGGTTGTCGTCATACGACGCCGTAGATTAAAATAGTTAGATAAAGATTGAAGTTATATTGATAGCTTAACTATAATGAATCAAGTTCTCTTTTTACCCTTTGCTCAATATAGTTGTTGCGTAGATTAGCTTCCTCTGCACGTACTAGTGTATGTAAAGTTTCGCGGCACCCCAAATAAAGGGTGCTCCGTTACACAAAGCCCCACTCGCTGATCGTAAACTGAGATATGCTGGGTCTTCAGAGGACAGTCTTGCATTGAGACATCTGTGACGTGCAAACGGGACGAAGCTGTCCTTAAAAGGATTGCAGCGAGCCACTAAATTCAATTTTGATCAACGATACAGAGAGCTTCGATTGCATTGATCGCGATGATTAGGCAGCAACATGGGAGATTCCGGAGCTCAAGTGGTCTTTTTTCAACAAATTCCATTTCCAACCGTCGATAGATCAACGTCAAAGTGAAAGCGGATTGCCAACCTTGCCCCTTATTATTTAATGTGGCTGGCTAAGCGATGCATGTCCCGGGGGATTTTTTGCATAGTTTAGACAAGTCAATTATTGATTCGTGAATGCCAGGAAGTCGACACAAATGCATGAAAGACGGGTCAAGTCGACCTAGAGTACAGCCTTAGGGTAGACAAACAATTATGGATAGATCAGTGGTTGCTCAAGTTGCAGCACAGACTTGATCACTTCGCGCTGGCGCCCCTTTTGAAAACTCGGATGATTGGTGTTTTTTGCGAGCACATAAGTGTGCGGGAGGCAATCTGCTCAAGTTGTGTGATCCAAAGTGTCGTTCCAGACTCAGTCATTACTTGCTGTGTGCGCCTCTGTGTAATAATAAAATTGACTAGAGGAAGGCACTCAATCGGCCACGAGTACGCCTTCCGAAATGCGTTCGCATTTTAAGCTTATTAACATCAACTCCAGGTACAAGAAGGCAAAGGACACACCCACTACACGGACGAATTCGACATCAATCGAGAAATTGTCTACACCGGGTTGGCCAATACGGAAACATAACTTCCACTCCAGTGCTAAGGGCGCTCTACGATCCTCCTTATTGTCGGTCAACCACGGTTCGAAATTAAGCCACTGCCGACGTTTACGGACGCCGCACGCTGCTGGACAGTTTCACCTACCAGTGAGCCCGACGCCCGACCCGGGTAAATACAGACCGACGGTTACTTACACAAAAATGTAAGGGGCTTTTAGAGGACAAACGGAAACAATGGCCGAACGCCTGGCAACAGACTCATGTGAGACGCCGGCATCTGGCTTGGTGTATTCTAGAAACACATGTATTCAAAGAGAAAGAAGTAGTTGCTCTAAGACCAGAAATGAGAAGATTGTGGGTCAGAAATATGAACCCGAAACAACCACCTCTGAACTTCTAAAGTATTTTATCCTCCAAGTCAACAGGAGTATCTATTTTGCTAGCTTCCCATGAAGCTTTCGCGGCAGTCGAATGGAGCACAGAATTTTGGCACTCCTGTGCGGTCGGAGTGAAGGCCAATATTTGCATTCTCAATGTTTATACACGATTTTTGCATCCTCAATGTTTACACCCCAAATGAAAGAGCAGATAGCAGGATTTATTTACAAGCCTTCACAATTAGAACATTCGGACCGACTCATCTGTCCTTTTGAAATATTTCAACAGTGTTGAGAGCCCACAAATGGATCGTTTGAGTCACTGGACGGCCAGTCGGTCTGAAAGTACTGCATTTAGATTATTGTTGGAGAATACCAAGATGTGTGATACTTTGCTGTTGTGAGACCACGCAGAGATTTGGGAGTCAGCCTCGACTCATCACTACAAAATTTGGACCAACGAGACAGCCAGCATGATAGACCGATTTTACGTCTTACCGGCTTGAGCTCCAACAGTTTTATGGGCCTCCACGAGTACTCCACCTCAATGCTCTGGTCATGGAGAAGTAAAACTACATTTACGAGACAAACAGTCAGAATGAAGCCATCATCACAATCAGCGGCGCCAATTCATTTATCATAAAAACGAGTAAACCGGATCTTGTCCTTCAGGACTTAATGCAGGAAATGATTACAATTGGGGTGGGGCGGGCCCTACACTTCAGAAGCGGGATGCCCACTTTGTTGGCAGCGAACGCTGCATACAAGTGGTGCAGAAACTGAACAAGGGCTCGAACCACGGAAGTGGCTTCAGGTATTGATGTTCATAACATTTCGGATCACATTCGTGCGACGCGTGTTCAAATCTTGCCCAGAGGAACTGCAAAATTGGAAGGTGTAGTCCACAAAAGCCTACTAGGTACGATTGTGGCAGTGCCGAGCTCAAAAAATGGTCATGTCTCAAATCGCGGTGGTCGCGGGGACAAAATGAAGCGGTTGCAAAAGTTTGTGCCAGGCAAGATCATCTTTTTGGCTTCCCAGAAACAGCAAGTTATTGACTTTTTGCCGGATCCTAGAAAAACCTTAATGCTGCTTTCACAGCTTCAGAAGACGTTTTTTGTGAATTACGGAAGGTGGAAGATGACGAGAAAAGCTCGGGAAGGGCTGAAGATAGCACAGAAATCCGGAATTCGCTCCCGAGTACTCTGTCTCAGTTTGATGAGTTGCGCTGGACGATTACAGTGCCTTCCTTGGGCTTAAGACCAGAAGCAATGGATAAGGTTCCCATAGTCAGCTTGAAATCCCTGAAATCGGTTAAATGTTTATTAAGGCTGTAAATGAAAGTGCGTGAACTCCGCGCCTAAGCTGACAGTAGTGTTCAAAAAGGATGATCTTGTGACGTGCGATATAACACGAAAGTGGGCGATCGCGTCAGGTTCAATCTTGTGGTGGTCAAGCGGACAACAGAACTTCGATGCCCATCGGTCGCATGTTTGGAGGCAGCCACTAGCGTTAACGCTACATTGCGAGAAATAGGCAACGCAATAGACGGCAGTTTCTCACCAGGCGGCAATGGATATCAGCAAATCTCGATTAGGGAGGTAGGACCATCTTGTACCGGCTTGGCGACAATTGAAGAGGTCAGTTAAGCTTTTGCGATGAGATTAAAGCGCGTCGCTGTTCGAAAAGGGATCAGCACGTAATATAACAGTCACCCTTCATTTGGGTGCCACGAAACTTTACATACACTAGTACGTGCAGAGGAAGCTAATCTACGCAACAGCTACGTTGAGTAAAGGGTAAAAAGAGAACTTGATTCATTATAGTTAAGCTATCAATATAACTTCAATCTTTATCTAACTATTTTAATCTACGGCGTCGTATGACGACAACCTGCTCTCCACTCATTACGCGCGTCTAGCAACGATTGGTGGTAATCTATGGTTGATATGTCTTTATCAACCAATCTTTGAGCAGCACATGAATATTATCCTACAAGAGGATAATATTTCTTCAATATTATCCATCTCGGATAATATTGGTAGAGAATTGTCACGCTTGACGATCTCCCTAGTGACACCGTTTGGTGTCAATATCATGTAACGGGCTACCCCATTACATCAACCCCCCCCTTAACCGTTAATCACCCGTTGATTGGAAAGAATTGATTGGGACAGGGTGACCACCGTTGGATCACTCTGGGAAGGGGAGCACTTGTTGGTCAAATTCCATTCATTTGCCCATCCAACGCATGGTTTCATAAACCACGCGAGCTGCTACTGCAGTAGCAAGAAGAGCGGATGCACGCATGCGTGCAACCGGAGAGAGTACTTCTCACACCTCAGCAGCAGGTGATTCGTCGCCTGTTGTTGTGAACAGTCCACGTTGTGAGTCACCACGTGCGAAAGGTACATCCGCTTCGTCTGCAGCGGGTACAGCGAATCATAATCTAGATGACTCTGAAATAGAGCTTATCTATTCTGGCGAGTCGGATGATGCATCCGACTCGAAGGCGACTCCTCACGCCCCCGGATCACCCGGGGCGGACACTGCAAGAGCCAGGTTGACCGGCTCTGGTCAACGTGGCGACATCATGACCGAGATCTTCGGATCGAGCAATTGTTTGACGATTCTTCGCCTCACGCGAGTCCATCCATCGATATGACGCGTGGAGATGGTGGTGATGCACCTGTACATCATCACGAGCGGGGTAACTTGAGGGATCGGGGTAACACTGGTGTCAGTGCTCATGCTGGCACCAATCAAGAGGCCAGGGACCGAAATGTCCTGCGCCACGCTCCTTAAGTGAATACTCCTTGGATGCCGTCATCTAAAGCGTTAGATAGAGTGGCCGGCATGTTTACTGAACGGGATCGAATCCCGTTGTTCGACTGTAGGAAGATTTGTCCACCAGATCTTAACACGGAAACTATTCGTGCTGAAAAATAATTCTTCATCGATGTGTTTTTTAAACATCGGTGGTACAATGGTAGCCGTGTTCGGGACGTCAAAGCCTTGGTGCAGGGATGGAATGCCCTCATCCACAACATCGAGTGCATTGGCCGTGAGGCTTGGCTTGCCAAACTTATGCAGCTCGCATCAGGTTTGAGAAACGCAACCCCGTCGGGGCGCGATACAAGTTGCACCGGCTTTCAAGAGAGGCAGGATTACCCTGTCTCTCGTGGGGTGATTCGTGTCCAAGTTGCCTGGACAACTCGGACCGTGCCCCTAGGAAGGCTTACCTCCCTAATGCTCCCTGCTGGAGGGCTTGCATCTCATCTGAAATGGCCGAAGCGATTGACACTTTGCAATCTCTGTACTCGCGTTCGGGGAGGTCATTTTCCGACGGCCCTTCTTCGAACGCAGTGGGTGGGTCTCGTCATATTGCTCGACGAGACCAAGGACATCAACAATCAGCTGGGCACGAGGCTCCCAGCTGTCCCACGCCGGTGGATAGCCACGCCAGCGTACGAGGTAACTCGTCCGGACGCCATTCAAGTCGCGGTGGTTCAAAATACGCTCCACCAGAAAGCGTTGACCACCGCCAGAATCCACCAAAGGATGTGGTGGTGGCGGGAACACCTGGTCCGGCTCGACGATTGGATTAGCTTGATGTTCAAGAGCTGAACCGTGTAAAAGAACAGTTACACGGTGACCTAGCTCATGGACGGCTCGACGTTACAAGCTTCATGACCCTTGTAAGGGATACTTACAATTCCTTAGCGCACGATCGTTCGAACTATTGTGTCGTGTTTGCGCTTGCGCAACTTGAGAACGAATGTTCGGTTCGTTCTCTTCGTGACGAGCTGGCTGTATCTCGTCGAGACATCGCTCAACTGCGTGAGAAGGTCGCTTCGATAGTCGACCAGACTGGCTCGTTGAAACGGGACACTCGAAGGTGGTCTCGGCTCTCGACCGCGGAGGTGTTCTTGCGCATCTCGAGACGGGCTCGTACTGAAAATAAGGGGGGGGGCCAGCGCCAACGTAAAACGTGGGATGCGTACGCATCTTACGGGGCAGTTCGATGTGTATGCGTTGCCCATTCGGCCCAACACACGAAATGGACCAATACATTGGGCAGTTATTTACTGCCGCCCACGTTTGTCACTACGTGTTTTGGTAGATTTACTGTAGACAGTAAAACTAGGTCTCCTTCATCGAATGAAAGAACATTTGTTTCCATGAAACATTTGCTTTTCCATGTTTGCGTTTTTTTCTGTCGGTCTAGTGCATCTGCAATAGAGTCTTGAACGAAGCGGACAACCGCTTTGCGAAACAGCAGAAATTCCTCTGCTGATTCATCCTGTCAACAGCATTGCACTTCGTTTGCAATGCTGAAACAACGTTGTCTTCACCAGTGAGGGCGTCATCGTCCTCACTGTGGCAGTCTTTGGCGATGCTGAATATACCAGCATTGTCGTCATCGATCTCGATTGCATTGACATCGGCATCCATCACGTCGGCACCATTGTCGACGTGTGATGAGCGAGAACCAGATCAGTTTCGTTCGAGCGAGTCCACCTCCCCCCTTAAACTAGAGTCACACCCTAAGAATGCAGGTAACGTGGATGGAGAAGGCCATTCACGAAGAACGGTGGATGCGCGTGCACCGAGTTGTTGATGGCGAATTCCGCCATCTGCAAAAACTCACTCCAGCTCGTAAACGAGTGGAAGTACCCTCGAAGTATCTCTTTGAGGATGTGTTGTACATAATACGCCTTGGCATGACGTTTCAGAAAAGTGTTCTGTAGCTCAGCTGGTTCGGTATGGCAGTACCATCCCAAAGGTCACTGGTTCGTTCCCGGTGGGGCATGCAAACAAAAAATAAGCCTTCGGGATCTGGTGTTTGGGGTTCACCAGCACTGTCCTGCCAGACAGTGACGTCCTCCACTTTCGGTACGTTTAGGTGTTTAGAAATGCATGACCAGAATTAGAAACGTACGACTAGACGATTAGTAATACGCGATGTGGTGATTACTAATGTGCGACTAGACGATTAGTAATGTGCGATGTGGCGATCAGAAACGTATAGTCGATGAATCAAGTAGGCTTAGAGTAGCAACAGAGTTTGCGAACTAAGTACCTAAATATATTCACTTTGCATTTCACCAGCTTTGTGCAACGACTTTAGGTTGTGAGCTTAAACCCTGCAGACTCTGCCCAAGACCTCGACCACGCTTTCTCCATGGACGCCATGCCGATCACCACCGCCCGCATCAACAGGTTCGCCGGAACAAACTTCCATACGTGGAAGTTCAAGATGCAGATGGTGCTGGAGGAGCGAGACTTGTGGGATGTCGTGAGTGGGGAGGTGAAGCTTAAGCACTGCGTGTCGACATTGGACCAAGCCACGTTCAAGAGGAAGTTGCGTAAGGCACTGGCGATCATCTGCCTCGCAATGGAGGACTCGCAGTTGCCACTGGTGCGCTCGGCGGAGAATGCGTATGATGCATGGTCGCGTCTGGAGGGACACTACGAGAAGAAGAGCTTGGCTAATAAGCTCTTTCTTCGTCGCCGTTTCTTCACGACAACGATGGGAGAAGGTGATGACGTGCTAGAGCACATCAACAAGCTCAAGACCCTGGCGGAGCAACTGGACGCGGTTGGTGCTCCGGTCAGCAAAGACGACTTGGTCATCACTCTTTTGGCCAGTCTCAGCGAGTCCTATCAGTTCCTGATAACGGCGCTGGAGTCAAGATCCGACTCGCTGACATAGGATTTAGTGACGTCTCGGCTGACGCATGAAGACCTGAAGCGCAAGGGGCAAGGTGGCGGAGTCGATGGATCCGTGCATGGGCAAGCTCAAGCGTTCATGTCAAGAGACAACAAGCGAAACGGACGACCAGGAAAGAAGACTGGTGCGTGCCACAAGTGTGGGAAACAAGGACATTGAAATGCAGAGTGCTTCTCGCGGATCCAAGAACGTGCGGAACGACATCGATTCCAGCGTGCGAACGTGGCGCAAGATGAAGATCTTGTCGATTATCTGTTCTCGGTTGGTGGTAAAGTCGCCAAGTCGAGTAATGTGTGGCTGGTCGATTCAGGAGCAACGCAGCACATGACAAGCACCAAGAAGATCATCAAGAGCTACAAGGTCTTCAATCCAGTCGATGTGCACTTGGCAGACGATGGTGTCGTTCAAGCGATCGGAAAAGGCGACATTGTGATGTCAATGAAGACTCCGCGTGGAATCAAGAAAGGTGTGCTCACGGACGTGTGGCACATCCCGAAGTTATCGCGCAATCTGTTCTCCGTGGGTAGACTCACCAAGGACGTCGGTTAGTCACCTTCGAAACCAACGGATGCTTCGCGAAGACGAAAGGTATCAAGTGGAAGCTCGGTGCTCGCGAAGGCAAATGGCTTTTCAAACTCTGCATGACGCCAGAAGCGTCTAACGAGAAAGCTTATCGATTCGAAGAGATCAGGAGTGGTCGTGTGCTGGTCAGTCGCGACGCACAGTTTATGGAAGACGTCTTCGACAGTGGAAGACGCGACTACGTTCAAGCCGAAGTAGTTCTAGAAGATGAAGAAGGTACAACGGATGAAGACTCATCGTGTTCCAACAAAGAAGAAGAAGAAAACGTACGGGATAAAGACATGATCTTCGTGGCACTTTACGTCGACGATTTGGTTGTCGCGAGCAACAATGACGAGCTGCTCAAGTCAACAAAGAAGGCGCTGGGTGATCGTTTTGACATGACGGATCTGGGATATCTCAAGTTTTTTCTCGGTATGAAAGTTGATCAAGATTTCACGGTCGGCACAATATCGATTCGTCAGTCCAAATTCGCGAAATATATTCTCGAGAAATTTGGCATGGAACATAGCAATCCAGATAAGACTCCAAAAGAACCCGGGCTAAATCTGAAAAGGTCCATGTGCGAAGGAGGATGCAAGCACAAAGACACGATGGCAAATGTTCCATACCGCAATGCTGTTGGATGCCTGATGTACCTCATGGAAGGGACTCGCCCGGATCTCGCAGCTGCAGTGGGAGTGCTCAGCCAGTTTTCAGCTGACCCTTGTCCGACACATTGGCAAGTACTTAAGCGCGTGTTCAGGTACGTCCAAGGCACAAAAACCTATGGGATTGAATTCCAAGCCACAAGCAATGACAAGCTTCAAGGCTACTCAGATGCAAACTGGGCTAATGACGTGGAAACTCGACAAAGCACAAGTGGATACGCATGCCTGATGAACAATGGGTGTATCAGCTGGAGAAGCAAGAACAGCGTACAGTGGCTCTATCGTCTACGGAAGCCGAGTACATGGCGCTGACAGAAGCCACACAAGAAGCAGCATGGCTTAAGGCATTTTTGTGTGAGATTGGTGAAATGAAGAACGACGAAGCTGCCAAGATCTATGAAGATAACCAAGGTTCCCTTGCTTTGGCCAAGAACCCCGAATTCCATAAAAGACGAAACATATCGACATCCGGTATCACTTCGTGCGCGAGAAGGTAGCAGACGGCTAAGTGATGCTACAGTACTGCGCTACGAAGAACATGAAAGCAGACCTCACGACAAAGCCGATCCCCGCTGCGCAGTTTGAATATCTTCGGGGCAAGCTGGGGATCAAGACGCCACAGTCTGCCGAGGCGAGTGGGAGTGTTGTAAATCGTACGCCTTGGCATGACGTTTCAGAAAAGTGTTCTGTAGCTCAGCTGGTTTAGTATGGCAGTACCATCCCAAAGGTCACTGGTTCGTTCCCGGTGGGGCGTGCAAACAAAAAATAAGCCTTCGGGATCTGGTATTTGGGGTTCACCAGCACTGTCCTGCCAGACAGTGACGTCCTCCACTTTCGGTACGTTTGGGTGTTTAGAAATGCATGACCAGAATTAGAAACGTACGACTAGACGATTAGTAATACGCGATGTGGTGATTACTAATGTGCGACTAGACAATTAGTTATGTGGGATGTGGCGATTACTAATGTGCGACTAGACGATTAGTAATGTGCGATATAGCGATCAGAAACTTATGGTCGATGAATCAAGTAGGCTTAGAGTAGCAACAGAGTTTGCGAACTAAGTACCTAAATATATTCACTTTGCATTTTACCAGCTTTTTCCAACGACTTTAGGATGCACTTAACGTGTTCCGTCTGACCATCTGTTCTGGATGGTCAGAAGTCGACATCTTCAATCGTGTTCCAAAATGAATGGAACACGGATTGCCAGAACCTCGCTGTGAATCGGGGTCCCTATCGGACACGAGTTCACGGGGTAACCCGTGAAGTCGGAAGATAGTATCGATGAAGACACTAGCACAGCCCTGGGCTGTGATTAAATCCGTTGCAGCAATAAGATGTACCATCTTGCTGAACCGATCAACAAAGACCAGAACACCAGTATTCTTGTGAGCGTCTTTAGAAAATCCAAAGATGAAGACCATCGATACGGACTGCCAACACTCTGCCGGAATTGGTAGAGGCTGAAAGGTGTGCACGGGATGAAGGACTATGCTTCACCCGTTGACAAACTTCGCAAGCGCGAACGTATTTCCGCACAAAACTCATACTGACGGGGCCAGTAGAAGTCACGACTCACCATGAGGTAATTCTTTTCTCTACCGCGATCCCCATTTGTTGGGACATCGTGACGCTCATACATGATGCACAATCGAAAATGGTCATGAGCGGGAATGGCGACACGAGATGTGTTGGCGTTGAGTGCTGTTCAGTACAGCATTCCACTACGAACCGAATACCGTTCGGTTGAAGAGCGGTATTGAGACGACAAGCTTTTCAAAGCTTGATTACACGGATTAGACACGTAATCCATCAATCGCAGAAAGGACTCATCTTCTGCGTACACCTTCCGCACGTCGTCGAGCAGATTCGACGACGGAACGCTTAATGTTAGTGTTTCTACCGTGGGATCACCCCTACTGTTGGGTTGAGCAGTCGGCACGAAATCGGGCCGACGCGAAAGAGCATCAGCGACGACATTAATTTGTCCTGGTTTATACTCGACGTAGAAGTTGTACTTCTCGAAGAAAGACAGCCACCTCGCCATTCGTTGCGAGAGGTGTGGACTGTTTACGGCCGTGCGTAATGACGCATGGTCGGTATAAACGATGAAGGGGCTATCTCCTAAGAGATATACCCGAAACTTAGTCAGTGCAAATTTCATGGCAGGGAGTTCCTTGTCAAGCAATGGATAATTTCGCTCAGCTTCTTGCAGCTGACGCGATTGATAACCGACGACGCGCTCAGCGCCGTCTGAGTCGTATTGAATTAAGGCGCAGCCGATCGCGAAATCGATGGCGTCCCAGACCACACGGAATGGTCTGTCCTGGTATGCAATCGCCGATACAGGCGATTGTATCAAGATTTACTTGATAGGCGATTGTATCAAGATTTACTTGATACCTTCGAAGGAGTGCTGACAATCAGCACTCGATGACCACCTCTCGTTTTTCTTTAGTCGACGAGAGAGATGTACGGTCATCTTGGCATAGTTGCGCGAGTACTTGTGCAAGTACGCCGCTAAGCCAAGGAACTTTCGAAGTCCCTTGACATCGACTGGCACAGACCAGTCGCTAATCGCCTGGATCTTTTCCGGATCAGGGCGTACACCGTTTTTACCCACGATGCAGCCAAGAAGTGGTATTTTGTTTGCTGCGAATTTTCACTCCTTGAGGTTCGCGAAGAAATTTTGCTCTCGCATTATTGCAAGAACCTTTCGGACGCGTATTCTATGAACCTCCACGTCCGTCTTTCCATCCATGGCCCGGCTATGGACGAAGACATCGTCGAAGTAACTCGGTGCGAAATCGCGCACCGATCGCAACAGATTCGTAACACATCTGTTGAACGTTGCAGGGGCGTTACTTAGCCCCTTTGGCATCACTAGCCACTCCCAGAGCATACTACTGGGGAGGCTCACTGCTTTGTACGGAATGTCCCGTTCACGCATGAGGATCTGATAGAATCCATCCATCAGATCCATGGATGAAAAGATGGTACTCTTTGGCATACAATCTACGACGACATCCTTTCTTGGGATCGGCGTAGGAGCCGGTACCGTTGCAGCATTCAACTTGCTAAATGCATGCACTATCCGCCACCCTCCTGTGGCCTTTCGCACACAGAAGGTCGGAGAGCTGTGTGGGGATGTTGATTCCCTCACATGACTAGCCGCTAATCGTTCGGCAATGAATTTGTCGATCGCAAGTACTTGTTCACGATGCAGTGGTCACTGCTTCATGACACAGTACTTCGAACTGGTGTTCAGTTGAATCTCATGCCAAGTGCCTTTATCCTTAGGCAGCTCGCATGGCACGGATTCAGGGAAAACATCCCTGAATTCCACCAAATCCTTATGCAAAGGATTTGTCTTTAAAGACTCCCAAGATTGAGACGTGTATCGCTCAATCCGGGTCTTCTGATGGAGGACAATCTCATCCATCGATGAGCTACTGAGAACCCGTTCGATCTCAGTAAACACTTGTGCCGACCGAATATCGGCCACGTACTCGTCACAGAGGACGAGTACGCAGATCTGCTTGATCTTGTCACTGCGCAGATCTCGCAAGAATCTAAAAGATTCTTGCGTTGGCAACTTAATTATCTCCGAAGCTGACTTCGGAGGCGTAACCAGATCGAGTGTATGAGCGCCTACATTTGATCCGTCATTCACCAATACATTCACCGTCTCGGTGATTTCCTGGTAAAACACATCCGCAGATGGTTGGGGATCCACACCTTTAACATAACTCTCTTGGGAGTCATCACTCTCAGATCGTTTGAGCTTTCTTTCAATACGGTTACTGACTGTAGGTGTACTACCACATTTACTTCCACTTCGATCGAATTTCTTTCAGTCGATCGAGCTTGCTCTACGATCGACTTTCTGGTAGTCGATCTCGCTTCAACGTGTTGTTCATCCTGAACAACACTAATCTATTTTCTTGGATGCAACCTTCTTGATGTGCATCCGTGTTCCAGTCCACTCGATCTCTTCGAGTGGTGAACCTTCTGCGCAGCCTGTGTCTCTACACCGGAAGCTGGTTCCACAGTGCCGTGGCCTTCTACACTGTGATCTTGTGCAATCGTACTAAAGACCGTACCAAAAGTGAGGCCATCGCACTCACTCGTAGTACGTCCACACGCTTGTGGACACTCCAAGATGTTCATCAGATGGCGATCCGATGAACAAACGGCAGGCATCTTCACGGATCGATGCTGCCAGCTGATCCATGTCTGGTATACTCTAAGCCATGGCAGACCGGGGATGACATCAAATTTGTCATCCAAATCAAGTACGAGTGAAGTCATCATCGTATTGTTTTCCTTCTAGCGTGTAGTGGATTCCCACTACACGTTTGTTCACTGTTACGGACGCGCCTGTAGCAAGGCACACCGTCATCCTCTTTGGAGGGAGCTCTCGCTCAACATAGTTGAGCCTACCATCCTCTAGCGACTGGAGTCGAATAAAACTGTTCGACGCCCCACAGTCAACTAGGGCGCGAAGTGACATTCCACTTGTCATTTCGATTTTCAAAGTGATGAGAGACTCCTCGTCACTAGGGGCCGTAACACACAGCGACTGTGTGTTGGGAGCAATCTTCGTCAAGAGTCCTGCAAATTCTCTTGAAGTTGCAGGATCAGCAGGGTGCTCCGCCCCTACTGACCCTGACCGTTTTTTTTACGGTCCGACTTGCTGTCGCGGCTTAGCGACATGGTTGGACTCGCGGCTTGGACTTTTCCTCGGCCAACGGCGGTCATCATGTCCTGTCTTTGGACTTGATGCGGTGCTTGGGATACTCCACTCATGCGCGTAGTGCCCAATCTTCTGACAGCGATGGCATCTTGCCGTTCGCTTGTGACTCAGAGAGCCAGAGTTCTCGCTCTCGATGTAACAGAGGTCCATTGGTTCGGGACCTCCTGTTTCCTGTCGTCTCGTCGGACGATATCTTGACGAGTTAGCCTGAGACTGTCTCAGGCTGAAGTCTTCTTGTTCCGCACACGCTATCGCCTTTTCTAGCGTATGGAAGTCCTCTCGGAACATGTAGGTCTTCACCGGTCCATCTATAAGAGCTTAGATGAACACGTTGATGAGCGTGTGCTCATCAACATGGTTTTCTGTAACGCTACTCGCAAGGTAGCGTAGCTGTTTTGCGTAAGCGTGCACAACACGCTTACCTTGCTTTAGCCTCAAGAGTGCAGAGCGTGCTCTGGACTCGGCTCTTGGTGGCTCAAACGTCTCTTTGAGCCCAGACTTCAATACCTCCAACGACTAAACACGTTTGGGTCGTAAAGCTTGATCCCTAAGACCCAAATCTTTGCTCGTCCTGTCAGATTTACAGGGAAAAGGTGACTTGCATCTCGTCACCCTTGATGGACGACGGGCCCTGATGGCGTCGTCTAACTCGATGAACCATCTCAAAAGGGAATCTTCATCGGTTCCCTTGTACCTTGGGATATCAATCTTCAAGTTTTCGGGTAGACGCATGTGCAT